CAACAGTTCTTGGAGACTCAGTCCTCTATAAGCATTCAACTCACGTTGACCAGGTAGAGTGTGTCTGGTGCCTCCATGAACTCAACAAGACATCATCTTTACAAACTCTGCAAAGAAAAGTCCCCTGTGAGGTGTCTCTTTGTAAAAGCAACTGGAATTACTTTTTTGAGTCCTTTCTATGTTCTAAGCAATGACATTAATCGATTTCAGCCCTCTAATGCATTTTCTTCCTCTATAAAATGATAATCCAGGAACAACTATTTCCCTTACAGTTTTATGACACAGTGTTGATAAACTAGACTGTATATAAATATTAATTGTTGGCATCCTTTTACCAAGACAGAGTCTTCGTAGTATCCCCAGCTGGCCTGGAACTTGCATGTAGACCAGGCTGGCCTCTATCTCACAGTGATCTGCCTGCCTCTGTCTCCTCTATGCTGTAATTAAAGGCATGTGCCACCATGCCCACAATTGTATATTTTTTGTCTTTTGTGTGTGTGTATGTGTGTGTATGTGTGTTGCATGCATATGTATACAGGTGTATGTGCACCCATGCATGTACATGCATGTGGTGGTCTCTCCTTTCTCAACAGAAAACGTCTCATCATTCTCTACCATAGTCCTTGACACAGGGTCTCGCTAACCTGGAGCTCACCAGTTTTAGTTAGGCTGGTGGCCAGGAGGCTGCAGTGATCCTCTTGTCTCTGTCCACAACCCATGTCACTAACAGCGCTGGGGTTACAGGCACAGGGCCACACCTGGTTCTTTTGGTTACCAGGCAACCAAACTCAGGTCCTCATGTTGAACAGCAAGCATTCTTACCCACCGAACCATCTCCATAGACTTTCTTTCATCTTTTCAACCACTCTGGGAAGGGTACCATTTTACAGATAAAAAAATGAGGCTGCTAAGAGAAACCAGTATTCTCAGAGTCAAGTGGACAATGAAAGATAGCATACCCTCAAGCAACAGATTGCCCCTTACTGTGCCAGACAAGCTTGCTGGACCTACCATTCTTAAGGTCACCCTGTCTTTGCCTTGCCTCTGGTTAGCCATGAGATCTGTCTCCCACTCCCATTCCCCATCTTTTCACAGTTTTCACTGATATTCACTGTACATCAGAGATGGATCAGATCCAGCAGGTACCCAATGAACATTTACTAAGTTTCCTGTGGGGGACTTGTAGAGCAGCCATGGTTTAATGAAGTCCCTCCCATATTAGAGGCTGGGAAGATGGCTCAGTGAGTAAGAACGCTTGCTGCACAGGTATGAGGACCTGAGTTTGAATCCACAGAATTCACATAAAAGCCTGGCTTGTCTCTATAACCACAGTAGTATGGGAATTGGAAATAGGAGGACTGTTGGGGCTTAGCTTCTAGTTCAGTGATTTGCTCTGTCTCAAGGGAATGAGGTGGAAAATAATAGAGTAGGGCACCTGATGCTCTCCTCTTACCTCTATGCAAGAGCATGAGAATATACACACGTATGTGCATACACCACAACACATACACCATACACACATGCATGCACATACACCAAGAGAAGACAGAGAGAGAGAACCCACTCAGCTGCCCTAGCAAACACCATATGAATCCCAAGGAGAACAGAAAGACTCCTGTAAGACCCAACATTGGGGTTAATGTGTCCAGGCAAGCTTCTTTGCAAAGGTGATGGGCGTGTGTTGTGAGGGATGTGTAAGACCTAGAAATGGAGCTGGTGGACAGACATCAGGTGCAAAGGAAGAGAAGTTGAAGAATGCAGAGCAGGAACCACATCTGCCTCGCAGCATGGTTGTAGAAGGCAGGGCTGAGTGGACCAGGGGGCTGAGGATGTGCGGACTTGAACATCATACTACAGATTCTGGATTCTTGCCTACAAACAGAAGGTAGTTGCTGAGTACTTTTAGCCTGAGAATATCACAATTGAAACTTGATATGGCCAACTGCTGCCTCCCATTTGACACAACCTCGACTCACCTGGGAAGAAGTGCTCTCATGTCCCCACCTGCGGGGACCCTGTACAGGTAAAGCTTGAGGGGGACCACTCCCTGAAAAGAAAAACGGGCGAGAAAGAGGAGACGGAGCCCAAGCAAGTCCACTTCTCAAGGGTCCACTTTATTGAACTGCAAGCTTTCCTTACATACAGTTTGTGTTTAGAAGGGGTTGAAGAAGTTGGTCAAAGGTTACAGCATTCTTATGGGTATGGGGCGGGGGACTGAGCAATTCAGCAACGTGACTGACTGCCAGGTGTTCCAAGAGATTACTGCATGACTTATCTTTCCGAGAACTGTTTGCAAGGGGAAGAGAAAGATAACCTTGCCATAAATTCTTTCTCAAGGTTACTAGTGCAGGCAGAATGTCCTGCTTAAGTCAACTGTTTGTAGAGCCATATTATATTTTTTGGTAATGAATGTTGTTTCTCCAGCTCCCGACAATCCCAATAAAACATTCCCTACCCCTGCCCTTAGCAGCCATCAATTGCCAAAATTTCCAAAGTTGAGTTCGAATTTTTTATCTACTTCCCCATGTCTTTGCTGGAAATTTGTCTAGTCTGAGCTTGCATAGGACTTGTGCATGCTATCACCATTACTGTGAGTTCATATGAGTAACTGACCAGCTGTGTGGAAGACCATTTCCTTGGGGTCATTTACCCCCCTTGCTCTTATAATCTATCTACCTTGCCTTCCAGGATGATCTTTGAGCCTTGGGAGGCAGAGGTTTGTATTGTGGGAGTAGAATTTATCTAGATGCTTTTTTAATAAAGTCAGTAATCTTTCGGAACACCCATGGCCCAAAGGAAATTATGAGCAAGAACCCCACCAGGGGCCCAAGGAGAGGTAGAAGATAGGGCAGGATTCCATTCCACATGCTCCACATGGGGTTTGCAAATAGCTCTTGGTGTCTTTTTTCTAGCTCTTCATGGTGCTTTCTGATCCGATCCCTGACGATCCCGGACTTGTTGGTATAAAAGCAGCATCTTTCCTGTAAAGCTAAACAGATACCTCCCTTGTCTGCTGTTAGTAAATCAAGTCCCCGTCTATTTTGTAAGACAACCTCGGCCAGTGAGTCTACCTGGTCCTGAAGATCTTGTACAGACCGATAGACCATATTAACATCATCAATTAACTGCTGAGATAATTTGTTGTAAGTGTCTATTGCCACTCCTACACCAGCTGAGCCAGCAGCAAGTGTTCCTGAGATACCCAGTCCAATAAGCAATGGAATAAATTGGACCGCTCGTTTGTGCCTAGGAACAAATGTGTCAAAGCTAGGCAAGTGGGTAAATAAGGATAGGCCATGTTATTTCCACATACATAAATTCTTCCCCCCCCAAACAGCCTGTCTGAGAGGTCTTGACGAACCTAGAGCAGGTAGTAAACATAGCTAATCCAAGATCTACATCAAAGGAATTATTTTGAAAAGGATTAAAAAGACAAACAGATGTATTGAAGTAACGGGGCAGGACCTTAAAAGGCATGGAATAGCTACAGTTATCTGGAGAGCTGGGAACATGGGTGCGGCATTGGAGGTAGGTCTGATGTAAGGCACTGTCTCCAATAAAGGAACCGAGAAGGCCAAATAAGCACTATCGGTATACAGATTAAAAGGGGACTGTGTTATTTTTTGGAACACAGCAAGAATAGCTTGGATCTCAACTAATTGTGCAGAGCTAAAGGGTGTAGATATTTGACTTATTTGTCCATTGATCATGAAGGCTGCTCGGCCATTGGAGGAGCCATCAGTGAATACCAAATGTGCTTTAGGTATGGGGTCTCTTTTAGTTACTTTAGGAAATATAACAGGGACTGGGCTTTTGTTAAAGAATTGGACCAATTTATTTTGGGGGTAATGATTATCTAATTTTCCCTGAAATGTAACACTATTAATAGAGCACTCATCGAGGTGTCTGTTAGCCAGGAAACCTGGGAAGGACTGTAGGGGGGTATTATAACATCTGGTTCCTTCCCAAACAGTTTGCAGGATTGTTCCCTGCCGAGCTGAAGAATTTTCACTACCAATGAAGGATAAGTGGGAAGGACCTTGTTGGTTGTAGAAGGTAGATGTACCCAATAAAGAGGATTGTCTCCTTGCCAGAAGACAGCAGTGGGAAAAAGGGGGGTGGCGAAAACTATGAGAAGCAATTGCTTAGTGGGAGAAAAATAATCAATAGTTTGTTGAGAAATGGCCTCCTCCACTAGGGCAAGAGCCTTAGAAGCCTCTGGTGTAAATTGACGGGGAGAGGTGGGGTCAGCACTTCCCTTGAGTATATCAAAGAGTGGTTTTAATTCTCCTGTGGTTACTTTTAAGTAAGGCTGGAGCCAATTAATTTCTCCTAAAAGGTGTTGGAAATCATTAAGTGTTTGGAGGGAATTTTTCTGAAGTTGTATTTTTTGAGAAACTATTTTATGAGGGAAAAGCTCGAAACCCAAAAAGAGCTGGGGAGGATTTAGTTGAATTTTATCTGGGGTGACTTGGAGACCCTGTTGGTGAAAGGCATGAATTAATTGCTGAGCAGCTGAGTATACTAGTTTAAGCTTGGGTCCTGCTAAGAGAACATCATCCATGTAATGGATAATATAATCATAGGTCCAATGAAATTAACAATGAGTAAACTGAAAGGAAAGCGTTTGCAATCCTCTGGATGGAGCGGAATAGAAAAAAAGCAATCCTTAATATTTATTATTACTTTATAATATCCCTTGGGAATAGCTACAGGGGACAGTAAGCCAGGTTGCAATGCTCCCATGGGAACCATAGTTTTATTAATTTCTATAAGATCTTGTAAAAGCCTCCATTTTCCAGACCTTTTCTTAATTGCAAAGATGGGTGTATTTCAGGGCGAGGTGGAGGGTTCAATATGTCCAGCGGCCAGCTGTTCCTGCACTAACTGCAAGGCCGCAGTGACTTTAACTGTAGGGAGGGGCCATTGATCAACCCAGACAGGGTTATCATTTTTCCATACAATTTTGTCTGCCTGCTGTGCAGGGGGTGCAATGGCCCTTAGGAAAAATTTTTGTAGCCTATTCTGAGGCGATTATCCTTGAGAGAGGGAATAATTGGTTGGATAATTCTCTGTTTATATTTTCCCAGACCTTTTCCTGGTTGATATGTTTGGCGGAGCATTTGCTGAGTGACAACTTCATTTGGGCTACACATAACTACCCCCAACTGATTTAGTATATCTCGACCCCAGAGATTTACTGGGAGGGTTTCAACTACAAAAGGTTGAACAGTGCCTGAATGACCTTCTGAGTCTGACCATGTTAATATCTTAGAGCTCTGGAGGGTATATCTTGACTGTCCTATGCCCTGTAAATGTGTGATGGAGGGTTGAAGAGGCCAACTTGAAGGCCAGTGGTTTTTAGAGAGAACAGTAACATCTGCCCCAGTGTCCAAAATACCTGAGAACCATTTATTATCCAATTTTAATTTTAGCGTGGGTCAGTCTTGGGTAATGGCCTGGACCCAATAGGCATCAGAGGAGCCTGGTTTGGAGGCACTGCAGGACTCTTTAAAGGGTGGATACTGGCTATCTAAAGGGAGCGGAAGGACTTGTGCAATCCGTTGTCCCTTTTTGATAGTGACTGGTCCTAATGTTGAATTGGCCAAAATTTGTATTTCTCCTGTGTAATCATTGTCAACTATGGAAGGATAAATGGTGAGGCCCTGAATTATAGAGGAGGCCCGTCCTATAATAAGGAAAAACATATGAGGAGGAGGGGGGCCAAATACGCCGGTGGCCACAACCTGTGTTCCATCCTCAGGGCTCAATATTGTATCGGAGGAGGCACACAAGTCCAGTCC